AGCAAATATTACAGAAAACCTAGTGAGAAGCACTTAGAGTTATTCCGTATGAATGCTTTGGTGTCGTTTATTACATTGCAGACTTCGCAGCCTCTAATCTAGCAATAACAGGGATGGTGACACCGAAAGAGGACTGTGGTTTAATAAAGTTAACAGTTTTAACGCCGGAAGTAAAACTATAAAACTAAAAAGGACAAAAAAAACCTGCTTATCAGGAAGTAAATAAAATAGGAGTAAATTTACACCTTGCCAGCGTTGAAAGCGAGTCTGCAATGCATCTGCTGCTGCCACTGTGACACTCAACGCTTCTTTGGAGACAAACGAAAGTCATGCTACCTGCATGAACCCAATAAATTTGTTTTTCTGTTATAACGCTCCATCACTTCAGAGCAACATCAAGGTTGAATAGTTTCTGATGGTATCCAGTGCACCACAACTACTCCATCACACTTTTTACGGCAATGCTTGAATGTTGTGGTCAAAGATCCAGCCTTTCTATTATTGTACAGGCAACCACCCAATCTGAAGCGCTGGCAGTCTGATCGTTCACATGTCTCTTTAATAAGAACTTCATTACCTTGCTTTCAGTATGTTTTAAACCTTCTGATCCAAGAGTAGTTTGTTAATAACTATGCGCTACACCATGCTACCACCGTCTTTAGCTTGAAGCATTGACTCTTGGAGTTTAGGCTAGGCTGACCTACGGAATATGTCGACCAGACGTGACAGGCCACAAATGTCACGCGTTAAAGTCTGATCTTCTAACGAATAAAGGAGTTGGTCTAAGAATTCTCCTACATCATGCTAGAGACATAAAACTTGTGTGAAAAAAAATTGACGGACAAATACCACAGTGGATACACGTTTAGAACCGTTGCTACACCTATGATACCATCTTGATTGATGGCCGTGGCCGCGAACATGCCTAAACCGGCTGGCACTCTCAAGGCGCGCGTCCGAACAATGGTGATGGCTTTACAACAGCTATAGCGAATTGGAAAGCTCGACGGTCTCTGCTCTTTGACTTTAACAGTTCTACGTTTCGAAAGACCCATTAAAAGTTGAACAACTCACACGGTGCATTAGGATAATAGAAAAAGAATAGACGAAACGCCTTTTGGAAGAGCGACACAACCTATGGTATCAGATTCATTTTTGTGTATTTCAAGTTCTGCTGCAACCAAAATTTCCTATTTGCATAGCAAAAATCACACGAATTTGTGCAGATGCGCAAGCCTTTTGCAATTTAATAGCATGCAGATTTGGATAGGATGATCTCAGACGAGTAACAATGGAGATGTGAGAAACATTGTACCCTTCTCAACACAAAAATAAAGAAAACAAACCAAGAATTTGGTAGCCAACCTGCGGTGTTTGTTAATTGCAAGTTTGTCATTTTATTAATAAAATCTATCAAGTTTTTGTCACTGACGCGACGTACGCAGTGAGCGTCTCGATCGTATCGAAGTGTTGCAAGAGGACAGATCGAGCGCAAATCGCCTCCTTGTTCTTGGTAAGGGAAAGAAGCAAAATCAACTGCACTAATTGCATCATCACTTCACACAATGGACACCGATTAATAGGAATTCTATTCAGGAAATGACAGCAATTGAACCACCTGAACGAACCAAATAGAAACAAGTGGTCAACTTATTAACAACGCAAATCATTCGAACAAATATGTGTAACGAAACTGCACAGCGATCCACACAACCCCAGCATTGGCTGTAGTATCGACGGAGACTGCACATAAACACAAATGCCCAAGATAAGCAAATATAAGGATGGAACTGAGGTAAAGAACTTTTAGTCACAAAAAAAGCGAAGCAAGGCTGTTTGACGAGAGAATGGAAGGAAAAGCAGTTCAGGTAAATCCAAAACTTTCCAACAATGCCATAGCTCGCTCTTGATTAGCCTTCAATGCATTTAGTTCTGCCTCAACGAGTGTCTTCTCTTCTAGTAGATGAGCTAAATCTGCGCGCAAACGACTGAGAGCTGAGTTATCTTTCGTTGGACCAAAGCTTTTCATGTCCTCCAAGCTCTGGCCACAAAGGCAAGCATAGTCGTTAGCAAATCGCAATGCCTCCTCGCAGCTCGAGGACGACTCTGCAGCGAATGCAAAAAAGTTGACAATTAAATGAAACCACTAGTTACATGGTCAAGAAAGAAAGCAAAGTAAACCTTACCTTTTAAGCTGCCAGGAGAAACGGCCATCAACCAGCTGAAACAGTGGAAACACCCTAACACATTCATTTTAAAGCAAAAAGAAGGAAAATTAACAGTTATTTGCCGCTGGGATCTTTATTGAAGCAGGAAAGAAAATACTAGCAAGATGGATAGAAGGAAAGAAACAAAAATGAGAGGAAAGTACAGAGATAAGTAAATGCAATGATGAATACCGAATGCAAGAGAAAACTACTGCTGCTGAAGTCCCATGCCAGAGAGGGAGGAACCAGAGCGTGGCGGAGGTACGGGAATACGTCGAGCAGCCAGTTGCTCTTGACTACTGCGTCGCATCGGCCCACCACCGTAGAGACCATCCCCCCAACCGAAAGAAGGGAGAGTCTCAGTACTAGGAAATCGAGGTCCCCGACGCATCGGTGCAGGCAGACGGGAAACCATCTTCCCTATTGGTCGACCTACGATTACTGCTTGTTGAGCTCCAGGTGGAGGAACATTATCAACGAGAAGTGTCTGCGTCGGATCCAGACTGTTTCGCAGGCCCGGTGAGGTAATACTTGCTTCGCCACCTACTATCATATTCTCGTCACTCTCCCCACCACGAGGCAGTGCTGAAGCATGGCGCTGACTGTCAAATGACAGCCGCAAGGCCGTCATCTGTTGCTTGGCGATGTCGCTAGGAGAGGGACTAGAGGATATGTTGAGCCGTGATTGGCTGTTATAGGGGCTCTCTTGGCCAGATCGGTTAGCTGAATTGAGAGACTGTTGACTACCACCCATACGTGAGGCTTGCTGGTGAGCAGAGATAGCCGCGACCTCAGCTTTCAGTTCATCCTCTTGTTTGCGAGCCATGCTCTGCAAATCGGCGACATTTTGCAGATCATCAGTTGAACCGGAAGAGGTCTTGAAATGCACCGGAGAGTGGCTACCAGCAGGAGATGAGCGCTGATGTGAGTGCTGCGGTAACATCTCTGATGCGTGACGTTTTGGTCGCACGAAAGTAGCGCTACTGCCCGGACCAAAATTCTGCCCACTGCCACCGCCGACGGCACGAGATTTGGCCAGAGGAGTAGGAGCGACAGTTGTGGGGGTGGTATTGAGAGCAGGAACACTTCCCCCAAGATTTGGTAAGCGTTTGGCCGGTTCCGTGGCAAGGATAAACTCAAGGCGATTCAGAAGATCGCGACGTCGGTGATAAAACTCAGAAGATGGAGAGTCGAAGACCTCGCGCGCCCACAAGAGAGAGGAGTTATTGGGTAAGAAGAGTGATGAACCCGTTACCTTAGAGGGTTTGAAGAGCCAGCATTCCTCCTCAGGAATGTCCTCCATCGGCTTGTTTTGGCAACGAGAGGACGCGTTGGCACCAGTGGCAGCGGGAATTCCGCTGGACTCAGAGGTGCTTTGTTCCGCATGGTAGTAGTTATGGTGCTCCAGGGCCAGATTTTGTACGCACGCCAAGTCTTCATGCGGTTCTGCGGTTGCTGTAGCCATCTCCCAAGTAGCTATGAAAAAAAATGTCTACCTACATCTGGCCCAGTTAGAAATAGCATATATAATCAGTAATGATGCCGACAGCAAAAGACAGTTAGGTGATGATGTTAATTGTGGTGTTGATTCAAAGTCATGCCCTTAGGTAAACAAATTGTTAGATTGCCAATAAAACAGCAGCTGGGCACTTACGTCCATTATATAGGAGAGAAATGGGTCTACATACGAAATGGAACAAACAAATTATGGCACATGCACAACAGTCTATCAAGAGGATGTGATGGAGAGCCCAAGGTACATTAAAGATACAAAAAAAAGTGTTCGTAAACTAAAATAGGCGATTTAAGCAACAAAAATGTAAACAACTATAACATTGGTAAAACTGAACGAGGAACTGAGAAGTAGAGCATAAGTCCTGCGACGTATAAACCACTAAGAGTACAGTCAAGGATTAGCACAGGCAGACACCTGAAGGAACGCCTGAACACGAACTAACAAACGGAGAGGAGAAGTCAAAACGACCTCAAAAAAGAATTCATTAAAACTAATACCTATTAAAATCTGATAAATTTAGGTGGCTGAAAGTGTCCTTGAAGGCTAGCAAACTACAATATTTGACGAAATCAAGACTAGTGGATAGAGTTGGACACTTGAATTTATTCTAACCAAAATTGGAAAATACACTAACACTGAGTTAGCTGCTTGAAAAAAAAATAAGGTGCAAAACTGTGCGTAAGGTTTTAAGGCTCCTTACTGGGTATTTGAAGACATTCTATATGCCTGAATACTTGCATTTAGCGAAGGAAGAGGCTGAAATCCGACATGACTGACACGGACATGAGCAAATTTAGATACCAAAAGCGCCTGCTAGTAACACACGCAGTCAAGTTACTGAGGCTATCCCCATGCTTTTGCATTGTATTTTTCACCTCGTCCTACATTTTTGTCATTACAGTGATCCTATTTCCTTTAAAATGCTAGGCGTTAATGTGTTTTATTTAAGTTTTGCTGAACCTTAGCTGCACTGTGCACGAGTTGCTGAGGCATATGTTGTTTGTGCGATTTAGGGACTGAATTCGTACGTGATACTGGAAAATCAGATTTACTCGTTGGGCCATGAGAAAGACTTTTCACTCCTTTCTTTTTCTTTAACCACGCTACCGACCGCATTGTACTTTTCGACAAAGGACGAAGTGCAGAAAAGTCTCCATGCCCCTTGAGTACTCCAAGATTTATCATAGATAGAAGAAGCCATCACGGTGATCGGATTGCATGCATTTAGTGGAAGAATAAGGACTAGAATCTTGACATGGTCCCAAGACCAACCCAAGGATACAATAACAAAACGAATACTAAAGTAATTAGATGTTCATATAAACAAAGTATCACACTGCCCCTCTCTCTCATTGAGCGATGTCGTCCGCCCTGTAGTTACTGCCTGTCTACCCTCTGGTCCCAGGTTCTCAGACTTTAAGAGGATGCAGACGATTTATTAGGCATCGCTGTTAGTAAGGATGAGGAATGGGATACAGATGAGGTGAGTAAGAGATATCACTCGAAGGGAGACTCCTCGCCGACTTCACGCACGTAATCCACGCTCCCAATTGGTCCCCGCCTCCCACCTATAAAAGTCCACTTAAACAAGCTAGAATATATTACACAGCCCCCCTTCTCTTTCGAGCACCGTCCCCGGTGCTGACCAGTGAGATTGGATCGGACGGAGACTTTTTCTGGTGGCGCATAGACTTCGTCTTCGTAACCTACTGGAGGTGGACCCGTAAATGGCCTAATCTTGTTATGGTGTACTGTTTGAGGCCGAGTAGCGATCTCCGCGTTCCGAAAGAGATAATTCGTGGGCGGCAGGGTTTTGATTATCCGTTAGGGTTCCTTGCTCCAGGGGTGGTAGAATTTCCGATGGGTTACTGGCGGGGAGATTGGTCTATACAATTGGACCAAATCGTCCTCTTTAAAGACGTTTGTTCGGCTCTGTCTATCAATGATCTCTTTTGTCTAGCGTATGCTTTCTGCAGTTGTCTGCGCGCGACACCAAAAACTTTCCT